CTCTCTCTCTCTCTCTCTCTCTCTCTCTCTCTCTCTCTATTTCTTTCGTAAGAGATCGCAATTCTCCTTCGAGTTTTGAGAAATGTTTGATCCCAGTGTTGGACAACGATTACTTACCTCGGCGGGTTAGTTGAAACGAGCAACGAGCGGACGACGAGTGCTCAAAGAATTGAGAATGGGATGGAGGTTGATAAGAGAGCGGTATCGGTAGTTACACAATCGTTACGTGGAATTACCCGATAATCACGAGCGGTTAATTGGATACGTGTTTGTAACTCCTTGCGATAAAGGCATTTGCAGCGACGATTATCATACGAGCAGGTTCGTGGAACATCGTGTCGTAGAGTCATCGAGGCAGGTGGATACGGACGATTAGCGAAAATACTCTGGCGAATTTTTTTGTCGAGGGAGTTGCAAGGGAACTTGGGATGATCGCTCGGCGTTAAGGTGTATTAATGGGACGGAATTAAGTAGAAATGGTTCCACGAGAAATAAACTTTCTCTCGTGTTATCGTGTAACGAGGATTGCGTAGCTGCAGGCGCCGCGCGCTACGTAGATTATGCACACGCGGAAAGGAGAAACACATTTGACGCTGGCACACAAATTGATATAAATTTGTTGTTGCGCGTAACGAAGCACCTTGTTTAAAAATAACCTGAATTTTTATTCCGTTGGCGCATTCACCGTTCACCTAATCTACGATCTTCTCTTCGTGCACAGTTGATCGAGAAAGTACCGGCGTTTCGTATCATCGTCGAACCCACTTTCGTGCGTCGAAACTGTGGAACAACGCGTTAAAAAGAAGTTGACCACTCTGGTTGAAAGCAGCGGGAATGGGAGTTATCTGGTAAAAATAACTCGTTAAAAATTTCGCTTTGTTCGAGACACGGTCTATTTTAATTACACAACCGCTGGACGGGGTGGAACTTTTCAAAAAAAAAAAAAAAAAAAAAAAAAAAAGAAAAAAAAATCGCACGAGAGCGAGAGAGCACTTTAGTCGGCTGGGCCTCGCCGGTGAAACAGAGACACGCTGCCGTGGAAAACTTATATCCGTCTAGCCTATATAATTCGGAACTGCTTCATCCTCGAGAGGCGATAGAACAAGCTCAGCGTTTCGCCAAATTGAAAAAAAGATGCTTCACTCGACGAGAGATTCCTCTGCATCTTGCTGCACCGAAGAAATTAATGATATCTTCCATGGCCCTCGAGGTTTTCTTCGTTTTCATTTCATCCTTTGATTCCGCTCGCATTGAATTAATTCCAGAGGAATCCTCCCCGCCGGCAGACACTGTTGTCCACCGCTGCCATTGTGTGTTGCAAAAGTCGTTGCAAACTGAGAAATTCTGTCGATTCGGCGAACGCGTTTATTATGTATCTGCTGCTTTTCAACGAGATCTTCTCGACTGTTACTCTTCGGACGAGATTATTCAGCCTCAAATTTTTCCCTATTCCAATCGAGTATCAACCGAACACAACCACGCTTTTGTTCTCCATACACACACACACACACACATCTTATACGCGTTTTCGTAATTAAGATTTTATATTTTCTGCGACGACGCGTTACACGTTGTTTCCAGTTTCCAAACGTACGTTGACGTTTGAAGCGATCCGGCGACACGATTCGCGGGAATAGGAACTTTGACGATTTATTCTGTTGTATTCGTAATGTTTCTTCGCAATGCGATAAGAAGAAAGCGACTCGTTCGATTAATAAAATTAATTGTACGTCACACGAAAAAAAGTTATAATAGTTGTGGCAAAGAAATTAAAGCGCAACGAAACGTTAATAATGCAATAAAGAATACAACCCTCTACTGATACATTTCATTAAAAAAAAATACAGATATATATATATATATAAAATTTTCAATAGAAAATTACAAATTATTCATTTTGACCACTTTACTGAAAGAACGTTCGTCGAGGCTTCGCTTTCTTTCGTATTTTCGTCGTTGTGTTCACAACGAGGAGATCGTACGTCGCGAGAAGGGTCATTGACCTCTCCGACAAGTGTCTTATTTGTACAGATCAATTAAGTAGCGAGCGATCGTTACGCGTTGATTCTTTATTCATGGGCAAGGCACACACGACGAGCACGGGACGCGACGTCGACGCGACATTGACGGACTGCAAGCACGTGCAGAAGAACACGAGCAGGCGACGTCGGAAGGAAGGAATAGCTGTCGATTAATAAACCGTGCCGTGTTTCGAACCGTCGTGCCTGTCGTGTAAAATTATGCAACCGATAAGAAGATTCCGCCCGAAGCGTGGACATTTCCTCGAAATGGCGAGCTTATTGCGCGCCACGTGTTCCACGTGTGTGTGTGTGTGTGTGTGTGTGTAGAAAATTATCCGCATCGATTTTACGGCGGAGGAAGCCTTACGTCTGCTACTTGTTGATACCCACCGTTGTTGGTTTTGCGAATTTTTTTCGTCGACGATCCAAACGCGGTGGGTCTCGATCGAACGAATAACACCGGTGAACGTATGTGTTTCCCGCCGCGAAATGACTGAATCAAGAGACGAGACAAACACGTTTTTTTTAATCTAATTTTCGGGCTAAACGTGAATTTTCGATTGGGACCGCAGGACTCTTGGCCACCGGCCAGAATCAGTCCAGAAAATTGCATGGAACAAGTAGCGAGAGATCTCCCGCGGCGAGGAAAAATATCACTTCGCAGTGAGAAATTCGGTTGTCGAATTTCCTCTGCGTCACGGTGCTCTCAGGCAACATGCTAAACGTCGCCTTATATAACGTGCTAATCTTATATCGCGTCAGCTCGAGATTAATTACGTCGAGCGAAACGTCGAAAGTTTTTAAACAGCAGTTTACACGAGTTTGCACGAGCACAGAACGTGTGTGCTTTTGCTTGAAAAGTGGACGCGCAGAGAGAAAGAAAGAAAGAAAAAAGTGTGTAAAACGATGGATTTCCATCGTCGTCGGAGAGCACGCGTCATTCCTGCGCCCATGTCACGGGGAGATGCATGTTTCGATAGAGACACACGTAGGAATCGTCCCGGTGAATTAGCGACCTCCGGTATACGAAGCAGCAACACCGATAGTTTATCGTTACATCGACAGTCCGTGACACGGTTGGAGCAACGATACGGAATACATAATGCAACGCAAGTTCTCTCTCGCATCGGCTGTGCCCGATGGACAGGGAAATAATCGAAAGAAGACGACGACGATACA